GTGCTTCCCTGCCACACCCTCTCCACAGCCTCTCCACCTGCCCTTCTTGTCTCTCAACTGCTCTGTCAGCTGCTTTTGTGTCTCTGGGTCTTGGTGCTGCTGTGTTCTTCAGTTTTATATTCCAATATCCTATTTTTTTTTTTTTTTTTGAGAGGGAGTCTTGTGCTGTTGCCCAGGCTGGAGTGCAGTGGCGTGACCTCAGCTCACTGCAAGCTCCTTCATGCCTTTCTGCTGCCTCAGCCTCCAGAGTAGCTGGGACTACAGGAGTCTGCCACCACGCCTGGCTAATTTTTTGTATTTTTAGTAGAGACAGGGTTTCACGGTGTAGCCAGGATGGTCTCGATCTCCTGACGTCGTGATCCTCCCACCTTGGCCTCCCAAAGTGCTGGGATTACAGATGAGCCACTGCACCCGGCCATTCCAATTTCCTAATTATATCTTCAATGGCATCTGGTCTACTTTGCTTAGTGGCTATTTTTCATCTTTAAGATCATCAAAGTGGTTTTTAAAATAAGATATAACCTGGATACTGTGAAATCCATGCTTCTTAGTGTACAGCTGGGCAAGTTTTGACAAGTGCATTTCGCCATGCAGTCAACACTACAGCCAAGACAAGAACGGGTCCATTGCCCAGAACCTGTCTCCTCCCATCCCCAGCCCCTGGCAACTGCTGATACATTTTCAGTCCCCATGGTTTTGTCTTGCACCATGTTGTGTAAGTGGAATTATTCAGTAAGAACCTTTGACCACATTGCTTTCATTCAGCATAATGCATTGGGGTTCAGCCTTGCACACCTCAGTGGTTTTCCTTTTTCATGGCTGCATAGTATTCCAGCACATGGCAATACCACAGCTCATTTGCTCACCAGAATATTTGAGTTGTTTCCAGTTTTTAGGGAAAACAAATAAAGCCACTATAAACCCTCATACACTCATAAACAGGTTTTTCTATACCAGTTAGCATTTGACTTGTCAAACACCTAGAACAAGGATGGCTGGGGCATGGAATAAATATGTATATGTAACTGCAAGAAACTGCCAGGCTAGAGTCCCAAATGGCTGAGCCACTTTGGATGCCCACCAACAAGTGAGAGTTCCAGTTGCTGTATCTCCTCTCCACTACTTGGTATTTGGAGATGGTTTTCGTTGGTTGTTGTATTAGTCAGGGTTCTCCAGAAACATAGAATCAACAGGGGTGTGTGAGCATGCGTGTGTGCACACGTGTGTGCACATGTGTGTACACGTCTGTGTAGCAGGCACTGGGAGGGGAGAGACAATTTAAGGAGTTGATTCATGTGACTATGGAAGCCTGGCAAAATCGGATGGCATAGGTCCACAGACTACGCCTGCGGACTCAAGAAGGAATCTGAAGGCATCTGCTGCAGAATCCTTGTGGCTTGGGGAGCTCAGTCTTTGTTCTTTTGAGGTCTTTGACTGATTGGATGAGTCCACTCAATCCTGGAGCGCTGTCTGCATTACTTAAAGTCCACTGATTTCAATGTCAATCTCATCCAAAAGACACCTTCACAGAAACATCCGGAATAATGTTTGACTAAATATTTGAGCGTGGTGGCCCAGTCAAGTTGACACATAAAATGAACCATCACAGTTTTGTTCTCTTTTTCCTCTTAGCTGCACTAACAGATGTGTGGAGGTGTCTTGTTGTGGTTTTAATGTACATTTCCCTGATGGATGACAACGTGGGGCAAATTTTCATGTGCTGTATGTTCTTTGGTGAAGTGACATCTTAAAAACTGGGCTGTTTGCTTTGCAAATATTTTCTCCTAGTTTGCAGCTTGTCTTGTAATTCTCCTGTCTTTTAAGAGTAGAAGTTCTCAATTTAAAGTGCAAATAATGCATTTTTTTGTTTATAGATCATGTTTTTGGTGTCAGATTAAAGAAATCTTTGCCTAACCAAAGATCATAAAGATATTCATCTTGCCGGGTGCAGTGGCTCACGCCTGTAATCCCAGCACTGTGGGAGGCCGAGGCGGGTGGATTATGAGGTCAGGAGATCAAGACCATCCTGGCTAACACGGTGAAACCCCGTCTCTACTCATCTCTACTAAAAATTAAAAAAAATTAGCCAGGCATGGTGGCGGGCGCCTGTAGTCCCAGCTACTTGGGAGGCTGAGGCAGGAGAACAGCTGGAACCTGGGAGGCGGAGCTTACAATGAGCTGAGATTGCACCACTGCACTCCAGCCTGGGCAACAGGGCAAGATTCTGTCTCAAAAAAAAAAAAAAAAAAAAAAAAGATATTCATCTATGTTTTCGTCTACAAGCTTTATAGTTTTATGTTTTACATTTAGGTCTATGATGCATTTTGAGTTAATTTTTGTTTATTTATTTACTTTTGAGACAGGGTATCACTCCATCTCCCAAGCTGGAGTGCAGTGGCTCAATCTTGACTCACTGCAACCTCCACCTCTCAGGTTCAAATGATTCTCCTGCCTCAGCCTCCCATGTAGCTGTGATTACAGGCACACACCACTGTACCCAGCTAATTTTTGTATTTTTAGTAGAGATGGGGTTTCACTATGTTGGCCAGGCTGGTCTCGAACTCCTGACCTCAAATGATCGGCCCACCTTGGCCTCCCTAAGGGTGGGGATTACAGGCATGAGCTGCTGCTCCCACCCTACCCCAAATGTTTTCATCATCCCCAACATAAGCTCTGTGCATGTTAAAGAACAAAGCCTCCCTCCCTTCTCCTCCAGGCCCCCATAACTGGCGGTCCACTTTCTGTCTCTATGAATTTGACTACTCCGGGGACCTCAAACTAGTGGAACCACATAGCATTTATCCTTTTGTGTCAGGCTTATTCCACTAAGCATGATGTTTTCAAGTCCATCCGTGTTGTAGCACATATCAAAATTTCACCCTTTTTTTGGGGTGAATCATTTAGCTCTTAGAAAAACAATTGGTGAAGATCTTCATGACGTTGGATTTGACAAATCCATGAATGTGTATGACAGCGAAAGTACAGGCAATAAAGATAAATCGGTAAACTGGACTTCATTAAAATTAAGAACTTTTGTGCACGAAAGGACACCATGAAGAAAACCCGTGGAATGGGAGAATGGGAGACAGTATTCGCAAGTCGTTTATCTGACAGGGAATCAGCAACTTTATTTTAAGGCATCAGGTTTTGGTCCAACTGCTCCACAAAGTTTATCTGATCACGAGTGGATTCCTTTTCCACTTGTGGACTTGGGTGGCCGCCTTTCTTTAGATTTCCATGGGCGTCTTTCAATTTGGGTGCACAGGCTCACTGAGTGGAAGAGTCTTGGTTCTTCCTGTTCTCTGTCTCCCTTGCTCTCCGGTTCCGGCCCTCTCTGTAGTGGGCTGTGTTTTCCACAGGTGGCTGCATGACTCTGTGATCCCACCTGTTCTTCGCACTCTCATGTAAGGGGGATTATGTCGTCTGGAGCCTCTACAAGCTGCTTTTCACACAGTTGGGATTCACCGAGACCATGGCATACATTCGTGGTTTGTTCCTTTTTGTTGCAGAGCGGTAACCCACAGCGTGGATGTACCACAGTTTATTTAACCGTTCACCTTTTGACGGACATCTGGCTTGCTTCCAGTTCGGGGCTATTAGACAGAAAGCTGCTATAAACGTTAATTAGCAGGGTTTTGTGTGACCATAACCGGGGTTGCACTCTGGGAATAGATGGTTACCAGTGTAACTTCTGGATCATGGTGGCTACATGGTCAGGTTTTAAAGAAACTCAAACTGTTTTGGAGAGGGGCTGTACCATTTTACCTTTCCTCGTTCCCGCATATTTAGTTTTGACATCTGATTAAGGGGACAATACAGAGTCACTGAGTGTGTTCCAGCCTGAGTGTGACTCGGATCCCGAACGAGGCCAGGCAGCCATAGTGCCCACCCCAGAAGGGGGAGTTGCACGTGCCCACCCCCATGCGCCAGGTTTCTCCTCCAAGGGGGACCCCCGGGGCGCTGAGCCCGCCTGCAGACGTGGCTTTACCAAGGGCAGCGACAGTTCCAGGCACCCCTGGGGCCAACTGGGTGCAAGCAGTATAAGTCACCTCATATTTTAACAAGTTCATTCATTCATTTATTTTTTATAGAGACGGCGGTCTCACTCTGTGGCTGAGGCTGGTCTCTAACTCCTGGCTTCAAGCGATCCTCCCACATCGGGCTCCCACAGAGCTGGGGTTTCAAGTATGAGCCCCCATGCCCCGCCGTCTGGGTCGTTTCAGAGCTGAAGGTGCTGCTGTGAAGGCGACATTTCCTGGAAGAAGACTGTCTATCCAGGGCTTTCTGGCCTCAGACCGACTCACAGACACGGCTCTCGGTCAGAATTCTGCAGATTATTCCTGGAAATACTATTCAGTCTCATGCCTACCGTGAAACAAAGCCCCCTACTCCCGTAGGATCCCGCCTCTCTACTTTTCTGCAGAATTTCCTAACCCGGATGGCTTCTCTTCTCTTCCCTCTGCGTGCACCTAAAACGGAGCTTCGGCCCAGAGGGGACCCGTGAAGCGGCGACTCTGCGATGGGGAGTCCACCTCTCTCGGGGCCCCGGCGGGGACTCACTTCCAGGCACTGAGAAACCGCGGGGCGGGAGCACCCGGCGCTGCAGAAAGCGCTGGGACCCGCGTTTCTGGCTTAGCTGACCCACTGACCAAGGCCAGGAGACAGCCGCCGGGCACCACGGATTTGGCCTGGACCCCCGGTCGCTCTGGGGTGGAGAGCAGCGGACAGCGCAGGTGGCGGAGGGGGCCACAGTCCTGGTCTCCGACGCCGACTCCAGGCTGTGCTCTCTGCTGAGACCCAAGTGTCCACCCGGGGATCCCGGCGCCCGGAAAGCACCACCGAGTCTCAGGCGCCCCCAGGGCGCACGAGAATGGGGCGCACGAGACCGGGGCGCACGGGACCGGGGTGCACGGGACCAGGGCGCACGAGACCGGGGCGCACGGGACCGGGGTGCATGGGACCAGGGCGCTCCGAAGAGACTTCCGTCAGTGCAGGGAGGCTGCGAGGACACCCCAGGCTACCTCCAGGGACGGGGACGGAGCGAGCCCTGCCCTGAGCTCCCCGGGAAAGGAGCGGGGGCCGCCCCGCCCGTCGGACCACCCAGCGCGCCGCCTCCTCCTCCCTCCCCCCGCAGAGGTCAGAGGGTCACCGAGACGCCCAGCTCCGCTCCCCTCGGCCGCTTTACGGGTGGCTGGGGCCTCCCCCGCGCCGGGATTGGATGCGAGAGGACGGGGTGGGGGAAGGCGGGGGACCCCAGAAACCCAGGTTCCGGCTCCGGCGGAGAAAAGCCCACAGTGCAGTAGCTGCTGGGCCGCGTGGAGACGGCTCTGCGCGAAGCCGGCGGACTGCGCGGAGGAGGCGGCAGCTGCAGCCGGGGCGCACCAGGATGTTTGACAGCTCGCAGTATCCCTACAACTGCTTCAATTACGACGCCGACGACTACCCCGCCGGCAGCTCCGACGAAGACAAGAGGCTCACGCGGCCCGCGTACAGGTGACTGCGGGGGTAGCCGCGGGGGTTTGGGGAACAGGGACCCCCCCCTGCAGGGGTCCCAGGTAGCCGGGACCTGCCTGGGACGAAGGAAGAATGAGGGGGCTTTCTTCTCTCCGACGGAGCTCAGAGAAAGGAGGCATTTGTCCCTACTTTGGGGAGAGCCAGGGAACGTTCTTGGCTTCCCGGGGAGGGACCTTTCCAGCCCGGTGAAGAGCTTCTGGGGTCTGGGTGGCGCCGGGGGCCGCGAGCTGCGGGGGACACTTTCCCCAACACCGCCTCACTCCTCCGCCTCTGCGCCCCACGGCGCCCTGCGGAACGGGGAGAAGGACGCGCTGTGGGGAGGGCTGCCCCGCGGAGACCCCGCCTGACCCCCGGGCTCCGCAGCTACATCGCCTTGATCGCCATGGCCATTCAGCAGAGCCCCGCGGGGAGGGTGACCCTGTCCGGCATCTACGACTTCATCATGCGCAAGTTCCCCTATTACCGCGCCAACCAGCGCGCCTGGCAGAACTCCATCCGCCACAACCTGTCCCTCAACAGCTGCTTCGTCAAGGTGAGCGCCGCCCCCGACGGGCCCCGGGTGTCCCCGCGTGGCGACCCCTGCACCAGGGCCTCGGTGACGGGGAAAGGAGGGCACCGCTGCGGCTGCGGGGAGGTCCGTCCTCAGCCCACGGGGCCGCCTCCACCTGCGCAGTGCGCTACCCTCGCCCGGGTCCAGGGCGCCCCGAGGGGACAAGGCGGGCCGGCGAGCAGCCCAGCGGAGCCGCTCCCAGCCCCTCCCTCCACGCGCGCAGGTGCCGCGGTCCGAGGGCCACGAGAAGGGCAAAGGCAACTACTGGACGTTCGCGGGCGGCTGCGAGTCGCTGCTGGACCTCTTCGAGAACGGCAACTACCGGCGGCGGCGGCGGCGGCGCGGGCCCAAGCGCGAGGGGCTGAGGGGTCCGCGTGCGGGGGGCGCCCAGGGGCCCCCGGGTCCGCCTGAGCCGGCCGCCGGGCAGGGGTCCCTGGCACCGGACAGCGCTGGTGAGGGCGCCCCGGGACGGGACCCCCATGCCAGCCCCGCCAGCCCCGCCCCCCAGGGAAAGGAGCACCCCCGGGACCTCAAGTTCAGCATCGACTACATCCTGTCCTCCCCAGACCCCTTCCCCGGACTCAAGCCGCCCTGCCTCGCACAGGAGGGCAGATATACGCGGCTGGAGAACGTGGGCCTCCACTTTTGGACAATGTGATGTGGGGCCACCCGGGAGGCCCCTGCAGTTCAGTCTGGGGTCTTCCCCAGACCCTCCCTGGAAAGACGAGTCCAGCCTTACCTTGAGTCAGGAAGCCAGAGTTCGGCAAATCCTACGATTTCTCCTGCAGACTGAAGGTCAGGTGCCACGCTAGGCCTGGATTGGGAGGACAGGCGGAGGTGGTGCTCCTTAAAGGTACAGACTGTGAGGCTGTGACTTTACCTGTTCGGAAAACGGTTGTCTTACAGGGAAAACCCCACTGGGTTCCAGTTTTACCTGAGGGTTTGCTCTGGACTGGCCTAGTGCTCTTGCTCTGAGGAATAAACACAGGTTCATGTTCCCTAGAGTCAGGAAACATTTCATTCCTTGGTCACTTGAGGGTGAGCTTTCTAGACAGCCACATCCCAAAAGCCACAAGTGCCCAGTGTGTGGTCAGTGGGCTGGTTGACGTCGTCCCCGTGGTTAAAATAATAGTGGTAAGGCACAAACCGTGAAGAGGGATGGCAATTGGCCCCATGAATTAGTCACCCCGAGGCTTATGATGGTATCCGTGCTAGGGGTGACATGATCGGAAGTGACAAATGTATCTTGTTGGGTCAGCCGAGTATTTTGGTGACAGTTTAAGAAATCAGTTGTGCTTTTTACACCACAAGGGAGAAAGGCAAGGTGGGAAGGTGGGGCCCAAATTTGGGATGATACTGGGGCAAAGTTCAAATTTCTTGATTCTTCTGAGCAGGCAGTAAGCCCTGATTCAGGCACCTTCTGTCAACTGGTTTCCCAAAAAATCAGGTGCTCAAGAGAGCAGGCTGTGGATAAAATTCCTGCAACACCTCACAGGGCACGGTCACAAGCATCTGAGGTGGGCGCACTCCACTTGAAATGTAAATGATTTAATTACTGTGTAGAGATGGGCATTCTGAAAAACACAGTTATGCGCAGTGAAACTATTTGACCAGCCTTATCGTTTTTCACCAGTCCATTTTTGCAGAGTTAATTGCTTTCAGTGACTTAATTGGAACATTAGTATGGATTACACCTAATCCGATTCGCTGGGTGACAACGATTGGCTAATTTTGTGAACAGCAAAAACGCACCCAACGAGGCTGGCTGTCTGGTTTGGGAATTACATAGTCTTGCTTTATCGGACCCTTAAAAACAGGGACTGGGCGGCCGTGAAGGTAGGCGGGCTGCAGAGACAGATCAGAACATGCAAAAGATGCTTGGCCCTGGCTTCATCTCTGTTCGGAAAAATCCAAGCATTCCCCCACTCACCTGCCCTGTAAATAGATTTGATGTGTTTGGTTCATTGTTTTGAGAAGAGGGAGGAAGGCCATTGCTGACAGATGCTGTGAACGCCTGGCCCCGTGGAGATACGCCCACTCCCCAGCCTCCTGGCTCAGACAACCGCAGCCTCTGCCTACAAGGGCACCCTTCGCCCAGGGAGAAGGAGCCGGAGCCCAGCTTCAAATGCCTGTTCCTGGAAGTGGAAATGAGGCTTGCAATGTGGACACCTCTCCTTTGCGAATGTCAGCTTCTGGTTTCCAGAACTCTCTGCTGGGAGAGCAGCCAGCATTTCCGGCGCTCCCACCGCCCACCAGGTGTAGGATCCCAGGAGATGGGTGCTGCGGCTCTCACGCTCGTTTTACGGATGGGACCGTGCATCGCAGGCATGCAGCTCCAGTTTGGCTCCTCACCCTCTCCATGCTGGCTTGTACAGGCTATCAGCATGGTGTGTACACGTGTGTGTGCGTGTGTATTGTGGTGTGTGCCCTGTGTCTGTCTGCACTCTTGTTATTTATATCCCTTTGCTGGTTGTGCTAAAAGCCTAGATTTAAATCATACAAGATGTAATTTAGACGGTCATAAGAGGCAGATGCTCCCATACGTAAGTATATGGCAAAGAAAGTATCCGAAGATATATTTTTCTGCTGCCAACAGAGGAAATAAAATTTACATTTTATCTTTTGAGTTCCTGCACTTTGTTCTGGTAAGCAAAGCCTGACTTGAAACAACAACAAAACCCCTTTTCCTAAACAGGACGCTCCTGGGGGGGCCTCAGAATAAGTCAAGGTCTTTATAGCTTATCCCCTCTGAGAATGTATTTGTGGCCAAATGCAGACTCTATGCCCGGGAGAGGCAAGGGCGGCACTGGGGGAAATCTGTGTATGATGAGGTGTAGCATTTGTTTTGCAAAGGGTATCAATCATATTTTTAAAAGCAAAGGGACATTTTCAATTTGCCAGTGTGTGATACCCTGCAACTTCAGAAAGGTTCCCAGCCCTTAGAGTGAATGGCATTTAATATAACAGGGTGAGGGCTGGCTGTGACCTACTCAAATGTCGCCGCCACCACGCAGACTTGCCCCACACAATTATAATTAAATACTTTATGCCTTTCTTGCAAATCCGCTGATTGATCATCGATATGTACATTACCACCGCATTACCCCCGAGCAGATGTCTGCCACACGCAGGTTACGGATCACCGGGCTTCCATTAACAAAGTAGGGAGGTGCTGCTGGGCGGACGTTCAGCAGCGTGCAAATGACTGTGTGCAAATGACTGTGCTTGGGACGAAAGTTCCCAGGCTGGGTGGCACCTGGGCCCTGACCTCCTTTTCCCGAGATTTCAGGGCACCCCTTCTCGCAGAAGCTGGGCAGAGGCTCCTCCACCAAATGTCACAGGAGTGAGGGGATGGCCCATGGTAGCTCCTGGAGGATGGAGAATCCCAGGAATCCCACATTTATCCCTCCCTCCCACAGATGGAAGCGGGAGAGCGGCAGATTTGAGAGCAACCACCAGGTCCCTGAGTGCAAACTGACCACAGATGAGACCCTCCCCCGCACTGCTGACTGGTTGGGCCTAGTGTAGCAGCACCCCTCCAGAGAGGCCTCCTTGGCTGACACCTGCCCTTTGCACCCAGCTGAAGTAGGACTCTTGGAATCTGCTGTCCATTGGCCCCTGGTCTGCCTCCTGGGGAAGAAGAGAAAAGCCTTTTCTTCAAATTCCTTCCTTCCTTGATTGAGCAGGGTGGGAGCTGTTTGTTTATTCACTAGCAAACATTCGTGAGCCCTGAGCTAGGAGTTGGGGCACAACCATGAACCCAAGAGGCCTAGACTGCAGCCCCACAGCACATGCGTGAAGTAGACAGACAGCTCCGCGTGTGTGCAGAGCCCTGCACCGGGATGTGTCAGGAAGGGAGCCCACAAGGCGCTGAGCAGAGGATGAGTGCTGCAAAGTGCATGGCCAGGCCAGGCTCTCAGGAGCCGAGGCCGTGACGGTGACAGTGAGCTGGAACAACAAGCTAGGAGGAAAGTGCCTTCTAGGTAGGGGGGCAACCTGTGCCAAGCCCTGTGCCGGGGACCAGAGGCCAGTGTGACTGGAGGGAGGTGCAGCCAGGGAGCCACGCACGGGAAGACCCCAACCACACCCACCAGCCCCCACATCCAGGCCAGACTTACCATCTCTTTAGCCTTTGAAATGCAGCTCCTGCATCCACCTCCATTTGTCCCTGTTCTTTCTGATATATGGAACACCTGCACAGCTCAGAAGGACAGTCACCTCCCATGGTCTGGGTGTTTGGCCTTGGTTAATGTAGCCTCAGCATGCACCACACACTACTCTTGCTCCTGTCCCCAAGCGTTTCTTCCTGGCCAGTTCCATCCTGTGCTCATAGAAGGTGAGGATGGTGTACAGAGGGTGGGGGTCTCCGTGAGCCCCCTCCTCAGTGTCGCCCAGCCAGGACAGCTGCCCTGAAGGTCTGCGGTGGCGCTGGCTTCCCTGGGACAGAGGAGCAATGGGCTGGGAGTCGTGCCTCTGTGGGTCCACAGCAGGGTCTTCTGCCCACTGGAGTCCGAGGCTCCTCGCCCGTGGCATGGGCTGTGCACAGCACCACCCAGGGCTTAGGCGAGAGGCTGTCAGCTGGACCCATGGGCCCTGGCCCAGCTCTGCTCCCATCTCACGCCCCTGTGCATCTGCCTGGCCCTGGGACACAGAGAGGGAAGGGACCAGCTCCCTGGGGTATAAAGGGCTGAGCTGGGCGTCCCCGTGGAACCTGGCTCCCCGCAGTCCCCAGGCCAAGGGGGCTCTCTGGGCACCTCCCTACCAGGAAGCAGGCCCTGGACTCCCTGCCTCTTTCCCTGGGACCCTGTGGTCTGCCCCAGGCACTGTCAGCTTCCTCATGGCCACCTCCTATCCGACTGGCAGGCCGGGGACAAAAACTTCCTCAGGATGACACCAGGGCAGTGAGGGGCCAGTGAGGGGCCAGAGGACACAGCCCTCAGTGGGCTGGGACTGGCATGAGGACACAGCTGGGCGTTTCCCGCCTGGATTCTTCTGAGCGGCCTCCACTGGCCTCCACGCAGGGGTCGGGTGGCCCCCTCCTCTGTCTTGGTTTCTTCTGTGGTTCTGACCGGATTTGGGGAACAAGGGTGCCCCCACTCCCACCACCCCAGGCTGTGACAGGGCTGGGCTCTTGAAATTCCTCAGTTCTAACCTTCCGGTTCCCAGCCCTGCCCCAGGGCCAGGCCAAGTCCATCTCCATGCTGAGGGCCTCGGAGTCTCTCCGTGTGCACTTTCCAGAGGAGGAACCCAAACAAGCCGTTTCTCACCAAAATGTGAAACTCAAAACAAGCACAGGGCCTGCCTGAGGCTGCTGGCGGCCTGGGGACTGAGGGTCCAACTTTGCCCCCTCCTGGCACCTCCTGACCACCCCTACAGCCCCCAGGCTCCCCTTGGCCCCGCCAGGTCCCACCTTGCACTCCCACATCCCTCTCCCAGGTCCTGCCCAGCCCCTCCTGTGCCCTCAGCCCTGCCTGGTCCTCCTGACCCCTCTGGCTCCCTTTGGTCCCTCCTGGCACCCCCTGGTCCTCCTGGGTCTTTTCTGCCTCCCAGCCCCTCCCATTCTCCCCCCAACCCCTCTCTACCCCCAACTCTTACTGGCCCTGTAGCACCCCCAGGTTCCCAGGCCGCTTCTGGACCCCCAGCCCTTCCAGGCTTCTC